GCTGGAGAAACTGCAGGAGCTGCTGCAGAAGGACCAGGTGGGCAGGGACCCCGCGGGCCCCATGGGGCACCCAGGTGCCCTGGCTAGCCCAGCACCAGCCCGCCTTGCCCCGCTGCGGAGTGGAGTAGCCCCCAAAGCCTTCGATCTCTCCTACGGTTTTGTGCCCGCCTTTCTCATCCCCTCGGAGGCTGCTGTGCCCTTTGCCATGCCGGCTGCGCCTCCCAGACATCATCTCCCAGCCCTGGGACACCAGCCAGCCGCCTCTGAGATCCCCAGCCCAGGCTCACCCCTGCACCTCATCGGACACATCCCCCTGCTCAGTCCCCAGCCCTTCCGCAGGCAGCAGTGGCCACGACACCAGAAGCAGAAGCCTCCGCACCGGTAGCAGGGCAGGGACAGGGGATGTCCCCCCTCCTGGCCCTGTGCCTTCACGGGGGCTGCACAGGAACACCCTGGCTGGGGAGCATGTGGGGTGGGTGCATGGTGTTGGCACAGCTCTGAGGGGCTGCAGTGTCTGTTGGGCAGGCACAGGGTTGGGTGCTCACAGGGGGATGGAGGTGCTTTACCGGGGGTGGGATGGGGCAGGTGCCTTAGCTGGGCACTGGGTCCTGCACTTGGGGAGCTGCTCGTGGGGAGGTCTCTGCATCCATAGCAAGAGGAACAGAGACAGGAGGTAGGGGCGGGTGGTTTCTAGGGATGTCAACAGGATCAGTCAAGCGGGAGACAGCAGGGAAGAGGGCCCAGGAGCACTGGGTGCCATGTGCTTTCTAAATAAAGCCTCTTTTCCACACTTTGTGTTACCCCTTGGCTCTGGCTATGAACAGATGGGATGGGACAGGCAGGGAGGAAGTCGTTGTGGGGAGGATGCTTGCCAGGCTTGGAGGTGACTGGCAGTCAAGGAGGATCCTCCAGCCTGGGAAGCCCCCAGGTGTTGCACCTGCACTTGGCTCAGCCCATCAACACTTTGGGGAAGGTGAGAGCCCCCCCAAGGTGGGCAGTGAGTGTGATTTTCCTCCACACAGGTGCCAGGGACCATCTCCCAGCAGTTCAGCCCCGCACATGCTGAAAGACTTTTGGTAACCAGAGATGCCTTGTGCCAGCAGCCAAGCCCTCACCCCCGTGAAGAGTTGTACCCCACAGCCAGCCAGGCTCGCTCATGGCTCTGCAGCAACTGGTCTCATCAGCCTCTGTGCAGCCCTGCAGTGTTTTTAGTACCCATTCCCCATTCATCCTCTTGCACTAGCCCTGACCTGAGCCAGCGCTGGAAAAGGCAGCAGGAGGCCTGAGCTCATCTTGTTTCATCCCAGGCTCCTCTGTTGCTTTCCTTAATTTCGTGCAATGAATGGTGAGACAAGGCTGGGGGGGACAGCCCTGGTTCCTCCAGCTGCAGCCCTGGGCACTCTGCAGTACATGTTCCCTGCTCTGGGGTGTCTCTTCTGCTGTTCCTACCTTTCGATCTGGTTTCAGGCTCTTCTCATGCTTTCAGTCCTTGTCTGGTTGTAGTGTGTTTTTTTTTTCTTCTTTCCCAGTTGCCTGCCCACCCTGCAGCTTGGCACTGTTAGGTAGACTTCTTAGAAATCATCCAAAGCGGCAATGGACCCTGGCTCTGACCACAAAGCACCCCAAAATATAGACCATTGTCTTGCAGTGTCTGATCACCCCCTCCACCACTGAGGGCACCCCCTCCCTTCTTACTCCAAACTCAAGCCCTCATTTGTGGGACTGGAGCCACTCATCAAATATAACCAGTTAAACAGGTTTAAGGCTAGGATACACTGGGGACCAGCTGCTGTGGCTTTATGGACAGGCGAGGAGATGGCAGTCACTGGAATATATGGGGTTTCACAGAGCACCTTCTGCCTCAGGGTCCTGCTGGGCTGGCCACCACCCAACTTCAGCCAAGGTCCTTTAACCACTGGGAAGCTGCCAAGCGAGGCGAGCCCCTGCCCTGGGGAGGTTCCTCCAACCCTGGAGTTGGTCCTGTCCAGTTTGGAGCATGTACTGCCCCAGGCGAGTGGCCGGACTCCCCAGCTGCAGTGGTCCTGGTGGGCAGCGTTGGTGCAGCACTAGCACACCCTGCACCCCTGCAGAAGGTGGCAGCAGTGGGCGTCTGCCTCTTTGCTCCCAGAGTGCGCAGTCAGCACCCTACCGTAGCGGCAGGGGCCGCCCCCTCCGCC